AAGAAAAGAGAAGCCAGGCGGTATTTGAATCTTCTGTGAGATGAAGCCAAACATGCCAGTGTCTGAACTAAATAACAATGTGGTCTGCGCTCTCTGCCTCTGCCATCTGGTTATCAGAGCATGACTAATGAAATTCCAGTAGAACAATACAGTCAATAAATTTTTCTAATTACTCATTATTAAGTAGCATGCTCTATTACTAAACTCCTCAAGGAAAAAGATACTATTTAAGTGCAAAAGAGAAGCATAATTACTGACTTCATTTTAACAATTATTAAATAAAAAGTAAGCATAGGTACTGCCTAGAATCTCTTCCAATACGCTAGTGAATATATAACTATTTGTGAACCCCAATCTCATTAAAAACAAATTATTTATTTAGACTCACATTTTCCATATTCATAGTTAATAGTATATGGCTTATTTTGCTCTATACATAAGCAATTTTCTGATAACATTTACATCTGGTCATAACATTTTGTGACACACTAAATGTATGTATTTCAAGATTTCATGTGCTAAATTAAAACATATATTCATCGATCAGATGAATAAAACTTGAAGAGAATAAAACTCAAACATCAAGCCACAGCATGGAGAATTCACTCTCCACCAATTATTTGGATTTTCTATTTTTCTGGGCTAGATTATTAGAACAGATTAATATAGGGATTTTTTTGTAAAGAAAGAAAATGAAGGTTTCCAGTATGGCCAACTAAATTCCTCATGGATCCAACCCTTCCACAAATAACAATTATAAATTCTGGGCAATATACAAAATTTTTTTTATTTTTTATTTTTTATTTTTTTGTCTTTTGTCTTTTTTCCGTGTCCGGCAACGGATCGCAACCCTCAGTGTTGCCCCCGTACCGGACCGGGAACCGGCAACGGGATTGCAAGCCTCGGTGTTGCTCCCGCGCCTCGCTCAGCCAGTGAGCAGGAACCGGTCTGTATGTGGGATCCGAACCCTCGGGCGGGAGCGCCACCGCGCTTCCCAAGCGGCGCACTATCCAGTGCGCCACCGGGCCGGCCCTGCTTCCAGTTTTTTTAAAAAAAATTTTGTAGGGCCG